AGGCCTGGCGCAATATGCTTCATGGGGTCACGAAGAGTCGGACACGACTTAACGACTGAACAACAACAAAACCCCCTTGATTTATGGAGCTAACTTCTCAACAGCCCTACTGTGAGTCAGTTAAGCTCCAAAGCAGTGCATATATGGACAAGTGGCAGGAACATCTGTGAAATCCACGTAGGGGACCAAGTTCATTCACAACCAGATTCTGTGACATGCTGTTTGTTGGGTGGTGGGGACTGCGATTGTGATCAACCTATTGGAAAGGCAATTCCTTCACTAGGAGCTCCCTACCTTTGGGGCTGGTGAGGGCCTTTAGAAGTTTGAGAACACACTGAACACAGTGGCTCCTGGGGAGGCTTTCCAATCACAAAATGGCACCACAGTATGGAGAATAAGCAGTTACAAAGCACCAGTCTAGCAGCATGCTGTCTGTTACCACCTAGACTTCCCATTCCCTCAGGGTGCCTCCAGCCATCTTTGCTACCTTTGTTCTTGGCACATGGCTGATTTCCAAACAGTGCTGCAGCTGGCCATCGTTTTTATTTTCTAAAAAAACTTAAGGAGGCCAGAACTGTTCTTAAAACTAAAAGGAGTTCACCCTCAGCAAGCCAGGTGGGAAAGGGAGCTGGGTAGGAGGTGTTCTGTGATCATGTTGGCACCCATGGGAATCTGTTTGGGAATTGCGGCCCTAGACAGAGATGTTCCTGTTACAGTTGTATGTTCTCCAACTCAGCAAACAGTGATTTGTCAATCTGGAAGAGTGTAGTTCCTCTACAGAGGATGGTGCATGGGGAAGGAAGGTCAGGTTTTCCCCTTAGCTAAAAAATATGAGTAAGTGTATAAGTATCTTTAACCAGGAAATGCTAGTCTGATTCCTCCACTGCTTGATGTGCTTGCTGGCATTTAGAGCCACCCTCCTGTCTGCAAACTTGCTGCTGCTTGTACAGGTCTAATGCTCTGCTTATCTTTCAGGAACTGAGCGTAGAATGTGGCTTAAACAATCGGATAAAAGCAATTGGTCAAATCTGTGAGGTAGCAAAAACTAAAAAATTTGAAGAGGTGAGTATGTAGAGCAGTGTTGTCCAAACTTGGCCACTTTAAGATGAGTGGACTTCAACTCCCAGA